GTATTTGTAGTTTTGTATTATATTTGAGTGTATACATATGTTAAATTAGAGAGGATAAAAACTTTGGATCGTGCTATTCACACACCCATTTTAGCTATTGATCTTCTAAAATTCATTTAATTCGATTGTCAAAAATTAAGAAGGGTGTGAGAAATAAAAAATGCTTTTTAGCCAAAATGATCCCTGAGATTTGCATAACTCCTTGCCTTGGTCCCTGAGATTTCAAATCAATAGAAGTGGTCCTTAAGATTGTTCACCATCCATCATTTTGGTCATTTCGTTAAAAACTTCATTAAGTGTCTAGGAGCTCTTGGCTGGAAGTTTGGGCAATTTTCAAAGCTTCGTAACTCAATTGTTTCTTAACCAAATTTGACCCATAATATATCAAAATGAAGATAGGAAAGTGTAGAATAAGATTATACCATTTGGAAGTCCAATGGTTGCCGGAGATGGTCAGAAAATAGCCTCAAAGTTGACTGGTCCGAAGGTCCGAGGGAATACTGGAAAACTCGCTGGAAACTGGGCAAACTTTAAACGTTCATAACTTCTTCAATACTCAACAAAATAAAGTGATTCAAAAATGAAAAATCATACTTCTCGACGAGATGAAGAGAATGATATCTTTTTCAGTGGCCAAATCGTCGTGGTTTGGCCGGAAAACGGCTCAAAAATGGCTAACTCGAGACCAAGACAGCTACTTTCGAGCAGTTTTTCGGCCAAACCAAGGAGAGTTAGCCGCTGAAAAAGATATAATTCTCTTCTTCTCGTCGAGAAGTATGATTTCGTTTTTGAATCACTTGATTACGTTGAGTATTGAAGAAGTTATGAACGTTTAAAGTTTGCCCCAGTTTCCGGCGAGTTGTCCAGTTTTCCCTTGGACCAATCAAATTTGAGGCTATTTTCGGACCATCTCCGGCAACCATTGGGATTCCAAATAGGTATAATCTTATTCTACACTTTCCTATCTTCATTTTGATATATTATGGGTCGAATTTGGTTAAGAAACGATTGAGTTACAAAGTTTTGAAAATTACCCAAACTTCTGGCGAAGAGCTCTGGGACACTTAACGGAGTTTTTAACGGAATGACCAAAATGATGGATGGTGAACAATCTCAGGGACCACTTCTATTTGAAATCTCGGGGACCAAAGTAAGGAATTATACAAATCTCAGAGACCATTTTAGTTAAAAAGTGAATAAAAATGAATATGTAGATATCACTTTTCAAAACTGTTTACAAAGAATTTGGGAGCCAGCGTAGGAGAAAGGCCTAGTGACCTTGGTGTGGTACGTCAAATGTGTGGTTCTGGACAGCCCACCAAGTAAAGGGTATGCTGACAGCCCATCAAGTAAAGAGTGTGTTTGTATCATGTGCTTTGCAAAACAAGATATTTCTGTGTTGAATAAGTCTTCGTCAAATAGATCTTCATCTGTGTTTGTATCATGTGCTTTACAAAACAAGATATTTGTGTGTTGAATAAGTCTTCGTCAAATAGATCTTCATCTAACGATGATGAAGTTATAAAGTCAAAGCGTCTTTTTTTTGTAAACTCAATGCAGACTTACATGACACATGTATATTGTCGTAGTAGTTACTTTACCAATGAATTAAAGACGTACAATTTTTGTTTACATGTCATTGTTTTATTGATACGGGATATCACGTGTCGGTGTACTCATGCCATATAAATTGCTCTCGTTAACGTGGTAGGAATGGACCTTATAAGGCCAACGGGTCTTTTCCAACTGTAATATAACCATTCGTTAACAATTCTTCCATAGTGGTGTGGCAAGAGATGAGCCCACACTATAATATAAACGAGGTAAATTCAAACTAAGATGCAAAGAGTGAACAACACACTCTTCCAAACTAGTAGAAATGGGGCATGTAACCCATCATTTGGGAACATGGCTACAAATATAAGTGGTATACAAATACGATTTCATATCAAAAAACATATACAAATAGTTATGAGTATTGCACTGAAGTTTGTGTTTGGAATCGCATTGGACAACTCAATTTTAGTGTGGCGGTACTTCGTTCTATAAGTTTGAAGATGCTTGAGAGTTCGAAATTATGTCTCCCATTTAGATTAGACAAATATCTGGATTGAATGAGCGGATTAAACGAATCTTTTAATTGAATTAGCATATCATATATGATTTAAACATTACAAGGGAGGTATTAACAAGAGACGTTTTCATGGGACTTGGCATTGTGCCGTTGGGTTGGAGTTTGAATATAGCATGCACTCGAACTTCCAAAAAAAGGGGGGACCTTCCTTCTTTATTGTCCAAAATAGAGCACAAATTCAAATTCACGTAGAGATGAATTGGAAAGTTGAAAAGATTTTTTTCAAGTTTACTCTCATTACATTAAGATTTTTTCTTAATTTATTGAATTTCATATGTTTTCTTAATGATTGTTATGCTTTCCAAAGGGTGATAGTTTCTTATGCTTTATATTTAGGTTTAGTGGTCTTGCAGAGATTATGCGTTGTTTTATTAGTAAAAAGTAGTTAAGGAGAAATTCTTGTATGCGGACAACCGTACTACGTCACCAATACTTGAGAATCTCTCATGTCATGGCTGTCGGCCAAGGCCCCTTGCAGTTTGTTTTGGTTAGTTCTTGATTCTTGTTGAACCTTTGGCCGACCGTCTTCCAAAAAAAATGGGTTCCTTCGTCTTGTGGCCATTGCATGCTGCGTCTCTCTTATAATTCCATGTCATTATTTGACTTTTGTTGTCTAGCAATTTTTTTTGGGGTTTTTTGATATAGGTCCAAAGTAAATAAAAATTGAACTTATTTCAAAAGTTAAAAGTTACTAAAAATTAGACATATTTCAAAATGTAACCTATAAAATTAGACCTATTTTAAATTTTCCTTTTGTTTTTTATTCGAGCAATATTCTATTGGAAAACTAAAGTACAGGGATGTGAATTCAAACAATTTTAGACTAGTCGGCTGCACCAAGGTATATAAAATAAATAAGAATATTGGCCGTCTATAATTGGACAATTTGCTTTTAACTTAGCAATAAGTTAAAACCGCAGTCTTTCAGTATAGTCTGGTAGTATTCCTCTTCATTTATAAAATGAGAAGTCTTAAATTCGAATCTTGCGAATGAAAAATTCGATACCAAATTAGACTACCCATTATATGACTTAAACGGACTATCACAACGCATTAATGGAAAATTGGAACATAGAAAGAATGTTCGTTAAAAAAAAACAAATGAAATTAGAGAAGGCAGAATGATTGTGTATGGAAAGGTGTGCCCACCGGTTCAACAACAGTACGATATGATTCAAACTCCAACACTGGTTTTGGCGCACTTCAATTGAAATCCTTTTCTCTTTTTAGCGTTTGATAACCTTATTAGACAAACAACTGGTAGGGATTTTGGTAGGGCAAGTAAATTTCGATGTTCTTCTTTGTTGGTCAATCTTATGTTATTGTTTTAATATCTCAAGATCGTTCTGAGAAAAATGACTTAAGTTTGCACACATTGATAAAAAAAATGTGTGTCATAAAATGAGAATCGAAACTAAGACATTTCATTTATAAATGAAAAAAATACCACTATGTCGTAATACTAAATGACTGTTGACATTTTTAACATGATATTAGAATGATGTGAATGACGAGGGGAACAAAAAAAAATTTAAATGAGTTATAAGGCATCTAATGAATCTTGTAAAGGTGTTATTTATTTATTTTTAGGAAAACTAATGAATATGACTTGAAAATTTTGAGTTTTAACGAAAATGACAAAATAAAGTGTAAAGTGAATAGTACCAGAATTGACTTTTTAGTGTAAAAATGTGGTTTTTCGTTAAAGTTCTCTTTATTTTTATATTAAACGATAGATTTGTTAGGTCAGATGTTAGATTAGAAAGTCAATGAAATTCGAACCCATGCTGTAGTGTAAGGGCAACAATCCTCTCCACCACTGTGGTAGAGGGCCACTTGCCTTGTAAGGGTTAATTACAACAATAATCATGAACTTGTCACCGAGTTTTATTTGTGCTCTAATTTTTTATTTATTTTTTTGTATTGTTTTTTAATATTAATAAATCAGGATTTGTTTAATATTTTATTTTAATACTAAGTAGTAAACTATGACTCTAAGAAGAGGTATTTTTAAGTTGAATATTAAGATCCAAAAACTGTTTTGGTTGGGAAATAGAAGTTGTTTTTCGAACTTTTAAATTTAAAGGGGAAAGAAAGACCAATCGAAGTTGACGGGCAAGAAGTCAATGATCACACACCCTTCCCCTTTTCTATTGTGTACCAATTTCCTCTTCTCGTGACCTCCATTTTCATAAAAAAGATTGAAATAGAGGATCAAGAGGGAGACGGAGAGGAAAGAGGGAAGAGGATCAATTCGGATAGGGAGAGTAGAGTAGTAGGGTGATACGTCGGTTCAAATATCGTAGATGTTAAGTTCAATACAAATTTATTCCCGCCATTCCTATGTTGTTGTATAAAAATATTATATATCCCAAACCGGCCTTTATTTTCCTTAGGTCTTCCACCGTCATTTACGTAAGTTTGACTTAGTTTTATCTATTAATCGTGCGACTGATCTATTTATTTATTTTTCTTATATTTATGATTGGTTTATTCACTTTTATTTCTGTAAAGTAATTGATCATGTGTTTAATATATTAAACTTAATAATTGAAATTGCTATCATAAAACTCAAATTTTTCCAACTCACTATACGAGTTTAATTTCTATAAAATTAGAATCAGACTCAATTTTCGGACCTTATATAAAAAAACATAAATTCCCAAAAATAAATAAAAATAAGAAAATGTCCAACCCACAAATAGTGGAGAGTGACACGGGTACGCGGATCCAGCGAGTCGAGCCGAGTCGAGTCGTGTCGAGTTCAGGTTCAATTCAACGCAACGCTGAGTCGTTCATTCCCATTCGCACCGCACTCTCACCCGTCGCACTTTCATATCACTTTCCTTTTAAAACACAAACACATTTCGAAATTTCAAAACTAACTCTCTCTCTCTCTCTCTCTCTCTCTCTCTCTCTCTCTTCGCCCGTCGTCATCGTTTCCACCGCAGATCTAGGTCTTTGAACGTCAAAGTTTCGAGCTTGCCTCAGATCCAGGCGATCTGATTCGGACGCCGTAGTCGTCGCCGCCGCCACCAACTTCCGAAGCCAAGAATGGAGAACCTGATCTCGCTGGTGAACAAAATCCAGAGAGCTTGTACTGCTCTAGGTGACTATGGCGAAGGTAGCGCATTACCGACTCTTTGGGACTCTCTTCCCGCCATCGCCGTCGTCGGTGGACAGGTCAGCTCCCGATACCTCACCTTCAATCTTACCTCTACGATTGATTCATGCATATGAATTCTGGTTGTGTTTTCAATTGCTCTGTAGCTTAGATCTTAATTGTGTATTTAGCAGTGCTGATTATGGCGGTTTGGTTTAATTGCATGAACTCTGTTGCACAAATTGGTGCGGAGTTGTAAATTAGTTTGATTTTTCACAGATCTACAAAAATTTGGATCCAAAGTTTGAAACTTGAAACTAGCTTAATTTGGGGCAAAAATGAAAATGAGAAAATAAGGCATGTCGAATACAATAGCAAATTGGAGAAGAAAAAGTAGAGAGAACGGATTTATTTTCATTTGATGGTATATATAATGTATCCTTATGATTTTGTTCTGTCCTGCAGAGTTCCGGGAAGTCTTCTGTCTTGGAGAGCATTGTTGGGAAGGATTTCTTACCACGTGGTTCTGGTAAGTTTATCGAATCCCAAGCAATCTTAGTTATTTGTGTGAATGGTTGTCTGTTGGTTGGTGATATTTGTTTAGTCGTTCAGTGTAGTGACTTCAATTTCTTAGATGTTCTTGGGGTGTTAGTTCTCGTGTAGGCACTTTGTTAACATGGAATATTGTTCTTGGGTATTTTTGAATGGGAAATAATTGCAGGAATTGTTACTCGGCGTCCACTTGTCTTGCAACTTCATAAGATTGATGAAGGAAGCAGAGAATATGCGGAATTTCTCCATCTTCCAAGAAAGAGGTTCACTGATTTTGGTAGGTTTCTTTCTCTTCATTCTAATTCCTGTTTGCATTTTTGTTGCAATGTGACAAATGCCACTAAATTTTCTTGGTGTCCAGAATTTTCTGTAAAGATTCCGCATCTTAGATGATTTTCCCCATATGAAAATTTCAAAATTATATCACAAAGAAGAAGACTTTGTGACCCAGTATATTTTATATATGTTATTTTGTAAATTTACACACAGAGCTATCTGCATATGTATTTCATTTTAAATAATTACCATCTGTGCAGCTGCTGTGAGAAAGGAGATTTCAGATGAGACAGATCGAGAAACCGGCCGCAGTAAACAAATCTCTAGCGTTCCAATTCATCTTAGCATATATTCTCCTAATGGTAAGATAAGTGATCTTTGACTTGTTTGCTTCTTTTTATTTTAATTGGCGGTTTATAGTCACCTAAAACTTGGAGCATCATGGTTTAGGGAATGGGAATGAGAATGTGGTGCTGTCATGTATCTTGGAACATGGAACAATTGGGGTGGACTCAAATTAAATTTCATAGACTGTTTGATTACTAGTTTGAATGTGATAAGACAATCCTAGGTCAAATGTCTTTTTATAATACCAGCCTTTCTCCCCACTATATATATCAGTTTGCTGAAGTCTTGTATGTATTAGTTTCACATTTCTTTTCGAAACGATATACAACAGATAAAGTGGAATGATGTTTCTACTTGGTCCACTTTTAAAATATTAAGGCCTTGGGCCTCAGCTAATTAAATTTGAATATCAGGGAATGAGGTCCAGAATTTCCTTTCTTTAATACGTCCGCAGTATAATATTTTCATGTAATGTAGTTTTATGTATGCATATTTTGATCTTCTCTTTTACTGACATATCAAGTTTATATTTGTTGATTCTTGGCAGTTGTCAACTTGACACTTATTGATCTTCCCGGGCTTACAAAAGTGGCTGTTGGTAAGTTTCATGGATCTCATAGATTTGGCAATTATTATGTGGGCACTTTATAAGCATCTCCTAACAACCTTTCTTGGGAATGTAGAGGGTCAATCGGAAAATATTGTGCAAGACATTGAAAATATGGTTCGCTCCTACATTGAGAAGGTAATATCCATTGGAATGTTTTCTTTTTCAAATTTTTAATATGCTGAACCATAGTCTGATAAACATTTTTTGCAGCCCAACTGTATAATTCTAGCTATTTCACCTGCCAATCAAGATCTTGCTACATCTGATGCAATTAGGATCTCTCGCGAAGTGGATCCAACAGGTAACCCTAATATTATTTTCTATATATTGTAAGTATTTCTCTTGCTATATTTCATGTTCTTGTGCATCATGCTTTCTAAGAAAAGGTTCAGCTAATCAAGGAATTGTTATATCAATATACTGAAATGTGATATCTTGTAGTGGCCACAATTGACCACCATATCTTGCAAAAGTACATAGGAAACTTAGATGTGGAAGGATTCAGTATGTTCCCTTTCTTTTTGCAGGGGAGAGGACACTTGGAGTCTTGACAAAGATTGATCTTATGGACAAGGGTACTGATGCAGTTGACGTAAGTTGGCCTAGTATCTTGTTTTAAATGTTTGAGACTGGATAATTCGGTAAACAACCATTAAGCTAGCAAGTATTAAAGAATCTTGGTTTATTGTTCAAAAGATCTTTCTTTGACTTTTTTAAAGTCCAGAAAAGTTTTATTTATAGCTACATATTTCAAGAATCGTTTAGGATAGAGGTATCTTGGCTGATTCATATCCATCCATATGAAAAGTTTTATCTAGTCATACATTTTCTTGGTTTTGTTATGAGTGTTCAAATATACCGCAAGTCCTTAAAGTCCATATCTTCAACAAGTTACCTCGTTTTGGGATTTTCTTTATTTAGTTTTGTATGGAGTACTAGACTAAATTATGACATACATACAACAGTGTCCAGTCCAGATAATGCCTGCATATAAAGTTATAAACATACGTATTTAATCTCTTTTTGAGTCACAATGAGTAGCAAATCTCATATTTTTATATCCTGATTCCTCAGTTTCTTTTCCTTTTTGGGTTACTTAGATGTTGGAAGGAAAGTCATATCGGCTAAAGTTTCCTTGGGTTGGGGTTGTGAATCGCTCACAAGCAGATATTAACAAGAATGTAGACATGATTGCTGCCAGGCGTAGAGAACGTGAGTATTTTTCTACCACCCCAGAATACAGGCACCTTGCTCACAGAATGGGTTCTGAGCATCTAGCAAAAATGCTTTCTAAGGTAGGAAACTGATACCCTACTTCAATCTGATTTCGGTATACTATAACAAGAAAGTTAGTAGCTCCTTTGTATTTACCGTTGGATTAATCTTGATCGCCTTCACTAAATTCTTGTGATGGTTACTGTCGCAGCATTTGGAAACTGTAATTAAGTCAAAAATTCCTGGCATCCAGTCCCTTATTAGCAAGACTGTTGCTGAACTTGAAACTGAACTGAGTCGTCTTGGAAAGCCTATTTCTGCTGACGCTGGAGTAAGTTTGCTTTGTTTTTCATTGAATCTTTTGAAATGTCTTGCTTTTAAAGTCAAAGTGATTATGAAGATTGACCTCTATTTTTTAACTTTTACAAGAGTTGCTGCTGATTGATTTCTTTGGCCTTGCAGGGTAAACTATATACCATCATGGAGATTTGTCGCTTTTTTGATGGGATATATAAAGAACATCTTGATGGCGTGTATGTATCTACCGCAATAATCTTTTACAATACTGGTGCTTGGCTCAATATTTATTGTCTGTTATGATTTAATAGTCTTAATACTAATATGTTCTTATCCACAGGCGTCCAGGTGGTGATAAGATATACAATGTTTTTGATAATCAGCTTCCTGCTGCTCTGAAAAGATTGCAATTTGACAAGCAGCTTTCAATGGAAAATATACGAAAGCTCATCACTGAAGCTGATGGATATCAACCTCATCTTATAGCTCCTGAACAAGGTTATCGTCGTCTCATTGAATCCTCTGTAGTTAGCATAAGAGGTCCTGCTGAGGCAGCTGTTGATGCGGTATGATTATAGCTTACCTTTCCGTCTCTGAAAATTTTTAGTAATTACTTTATCACGCTGCTTGTGCTAAGATGAGTTATTTTGAATTTTTCATTATACCAGGTTCACATCATTTTGAAGGATCTGGTTCACAAGGCTATCAGTGAGACTCCAGTATGTTCACAACCATGTTTAATTAGTTCTTCCATTGATTTTTCTGTCCTTTTGTTATCTTTTGGTGTTAGTCTCGTTTTACTGTCCATTTCCTCGTTTTTGTTTTTTGTTTTCATCTTGTATTGACGCTGCCCTTGTTGTCTTACAGGAATTAAAGCAGTATCCTGCTCTCAGAGTAGAGGTTACAAATGCAGCTACTGAGTCGCTCGAGAGAATGAGAGAACAAAGCAAGAAGGCAACACTACAGCTAGTTGATATGGAATGTAGTTACCTGACAGTTGATTTCTTCCGTAAACTTCCCCAAGACATTGACAAGGGCGGAAACCCATCGCATTCACTTTTTGATAGATACAATGATTCATATCTCAGGCGGATTGGTGAGTCTCATGAAATAAAAATTAGGCTCACTTGTATTCTATGGAGGTTTACACATTGCTATTCTTTTCTATTGGACCAATATCTAGACACCTTATTCTGTTGGTAAATTCTTTGCTCGTAAAAAACAGGGTCTAATGTTCTGGCGTATGTCAATATGGTATGCGCAAGCTTGCGTAACTCCATCCCCAAGTCTGTGGTCTATTGCCAAGTTCGAGAGGCAAAACGAAGCTTACTTGACCATTTCTTCACTGACTTGGGAAAACTGGAGGTAAGTAAAGATATCCTCTACCCGTCTTTGCTAGTTGTCCCTTTGTCAAAAATTGACGGTCCTTGTAGAGAGAGATGCTGACTCTGGATTAACTCTGAATTTTTTGAACAGACAAAGCGGCTGTCGTCGTTACTGAATGAGGATCCGGCAGTAATGGAGAGGCGTACTTCCCTTGCAAAGAGGCTGGAGCTATACAGGAGTGCTCAAGCAGAAATAGATTCAGTTGCTTGGGCGAAGTAGATGTGTGTGCAGGACATCTGCTATACCTTTCGAACGTGGATTTTGTCGAGATGGCCACACGATTCATTCATTTACGATTTTGTTGTAATGGTGGGCAGGAAGGCGGGTTCGGAGGCATTTTGTTTATTTTTATTCATGTACTAACGAGTTGGTGTGAGGTGATGCCATCTTTCACTTGATATCGCTATGCTTGTTTTTCAGCTGCAACATTTCTATAGTATATATGTGATTTGCTTCTGATGTGCCATTTTTTTAACTTGCTTCTGCTTCGAGCATGTCTGTGGTGCAAGTTGGGCCTTTTAATGAACAACACTCCGTTGTCCATTAAAAATGTGTGGGATTCGAACTTCGGTGCATAGAAAAATGGAAGTTTAAAACAAACTCGGCAAGAAGAGCAGTCGGAACTTGAACCACTATTGATATATGTTTTAGGCCAATTATCAATTTTCACTATTTTTTTTTTTTTCAAACGATAAATTTTGTTAGATTAGATATTAGATTAGTTATCGACGAAGTTTGAACCTGCGCCATTCATTTCCATCACTGTGAAATCGACACCGTGCGAAACAAAGAAAAACTTTCTCCACTTTTCGGTGTAGCAAATTTTTTTCTATGGTATGTATCTTTGAATTGTACAAAAAATTGACGGTTAAATTTTTTATTCCTTTCGAATGGTTAACTCAAGGGATTTGATTCTTATTTACGCTAGGTGAGATCGAGAGCTCAATTGCGGGTGAAGCCTTAGTTGTCGCTGGTGGTAGAGGAAAGACTTTTAGTGGGCCAATGAACGATGAATCTTAGGAGAATAAAGATTGAGAAAGCTTTTTCGACATATGGAGATCTTATTGACTTATGCAACAGTTAAATTTTGCATAAACACGTATTACTTAACGATTCGTCCCGCTTCCTACACTCCTTATTTATCTTCATTTCATAAATGACACGGGTCCATGACAAATGCGAAAAGTAAGCTTCGTTGGCCACTGCGGAGAGGGGAGGGGGAGCGAACGACATACCGTTGAGAATATAACTATACCTTTGACCCAACGACGTAGATGAGGAGGAGAAAACAACACAGACAAAACAGGCCACGCCAAGCGGGTCGTTTCGACAAAGCGGACCAAGATTTCGAAAGCGGGTGGTTTTGACAGTTTGAACATCGAAACCCGACCCAAAGGAAGCTTCGGATCTCATATTATTCCGATTCCCGATTCTGTATAAAGCAACAGACGTGGACATTTCAACGTTCGAATCCACCAGCCGGCTCAGCCCTCATAGGAAACATCAAATAACCCCCTCTTTTTTTTCCAACATACAACCGGTAAAATCTCGTTTATTTTCTTCAGGTACGTTTTTTTTAATCTCCTTTATTTTCCAATTATTTATCTGCCCAGTTTAGCACATTTTAATTGTACGTTTGCCTCTCTGCTGATGCTGCTTCTTTGCTTTTTTGTTTTGCATTTTCTGGGATTTATCTGTATCTGAGAAATTGTGACAGATTTTTGTTTAAAATTTTTGATTTGATGGGTTAGGCGATGATTTTCTTCTTTTTTTCTTGGTTTTTCGATAGTTTTCATTGTTCCTAATCAGTATTAGTTTCAAAACTATGTAAGTTAATGGATGTGGCCAGATCTTAATCAAATTAGACAAAAAGTATGAAGCACGAATTGGGTTCATACTGTTGTGCATCTCAATTTCTCTGTAGTGTATTTCGTGCTTTCGATTTAGTATTCAAGTTTTTGTATCAATGACTAGTGACTTTTTCCTTGTGGAATTGTGGAATGCAGAACGGGAAGAGTGGCGTATGGCGTAAATGGCCTCGGAGAGGGAAAGTTTCGACCTTTCAGGACCATTGCACCTAACTTCCATTGACTGGTAAGATCATTGCACCTAAACCCTTAGACTCTTAACGACTGCACCTAGCGTATGGTGTAAATGAATCTGATATTCGTTTATATCATTACGAATATGGTATGGAGCATGTTTTTAATGGATTTGTATCTTAAGATGATAACATAGCTACATGAAGATGGATTGTGTAGAGCTAGTTCCTTGTTATTTGGAGCAAAATGTTTATTAGATTATGTTAATCATCGATCATAATCTCACAATTGCGATTATCACTGAAGGAGTTCTATTTCCGACGTCAGGGCAATGCCCTTCCAAATTGTCGACATGTTTTAATTGCATCCTTGTTTGAGCAATCTGAACACCTCGACTTTTATCAAAGTGAAAAGCAAATATAGATGAAAATGTGAATTTTAGTCCTTATGTTATGGTTCTCTCAATGTCAATTACTGACTATACAAGAAGTTCAATATACTGGCTTGTGTGTTCTTGGTTGAGATTGGTACTCGGTGTGTTCTTTTATATCGCATGTAGTCTATCTGCACAATTTATGTAACTTGAGCTGGCACTCAGACACCCGATTATGTCATATTATTCACATTTCCACGTTCTGGTATGTAAGATCTGGAAGTTGCTTCTATCTTACACAATAAACTTCCAATTGTACAAAGCTCGTGCACGAAAATTAAATTGATTGTGTACTAGTCTATCTGTTATCAAGGTTGGTCAAGATGAAAATTGCTTCTATCTAGAATTCCACTGCTTCTAGTACTCTCTCTTAGAAGCTACCATATCCTTCTCTTTGAATTTGAAAGATGATATGGGATTTTAAATATGTGCTATGCAGGCAGAACACTCAGCATCGAAGATCTGTTGCCGCTTGTTTGGTTCAGGGTGTCTACATTCTTGAACGGGACCGCCAAGAGGAAAGAGAAGGGCCCCAGGCCCTTGCTCCTCCTTGGTGGGAGTTCTTCCATTTTAAGCTGCTCCGTAAGCTTGTGGATGATGTTGGTTTCTCTACCTTTGGTGCCTTATACGAGTTTAAACCTCCACCATCTCTTTGTAACCGTCCATCGGAAGGAAGCCCTTGTTATGTGATTGCCTTCCGAGGCACCTTAACGAAGTATGACTCAGTCTCACGAGATCTTGAGTTGGATGTTGAGGTGATCCGAAATGGACTTCACAGGACATCTCGCTTCGAGATTGCTGTGCAAGCTGTCCGAAATATGGTTGCTGCATCAGGTCCTTCAAATGTTTGGTTAGCTGGCCACTCCTTGGGGTCTGCCATGGCAATGCTTGCTGGAAAAACTATGGCTAGCTCTGGCAATTATCTCGAATCTTTTCTCTTCAATCCGCCATTTGTGTCTGCCCCAATAGAGAGGATTCAGGATACGAGAGTGAAGCATGGGCTTCGGTTTGCAGGCAGTGTGATTACTGCTGGACTCACTCTTGCTATGAAGGCTAAACAGCAGCAGCAACAACAACAACAACAACAACACAGAAGTCAACCAGAAGACGAACCATTCACTACTATGGCTGCATGGCTCCCAGGTCTATTTGTCAATCCAGCTGATGACATCTGCTCTGAGTATATAGGGTATTTCGAACATAGGAAAAAGATGGAGGACATTGGAGCAGGAGCCATTGAGCGGTTAGCAACCCAGAACTCTCTGGGGGGTCTACTAATGCACGCAATGGGAAAGCAGGCAGCACCCGAGCCGCCATTGCACCTCATTCCTTCTGCAAATCTGACTGTTAATTTAACCCCTTCAAGGGATCTGAAAGAAGCCCATGGAATTCATCAGTGGTGGAGAGATGACCTGCAATTACTTTCTGAGGTCCACAGATACAAATAGCGTTTCGGTATTTTGGTGAACAGTAAAGCAGCAGCCTCCAAGCTCGTTTACATCAACCAATAGTTTGGAAATAACAAAGCAAAGAAATGAGGAAGAAGAGCAATTGGAGGTTGAAGAGTCTCTCTATACAAAGGGTATCCTACATTACTCAAATGTGAAGCGGTTTACTTAACTGTTCAGCAATCGGAGCAAGTTGAAATGATACTGATGTCATATAAGTTGTTTATTCATTTACCTTAATTGCACCGTGACGGATATTGATGATTACTAAAATGCCATTGTTCTTGTACATCATAGTAAACGTGAAAGTTTGCATTCGTGATTCGTTGTTCTGGAGTTAGTATGCAACTCCTATTGGGACCCTCCGTCGTGTCGATGGCTTCTCATTTGTCCGGACACAGACACATCCCTTTTACCGGTTGGGACCCTCCGTCGTGGCGTTGGCTTCTCTGTTAACCGGACACAAAGTGACACGTGAGTGACAAGGCAGATAATTACATACTACTTTTCCTTTTTACTGTTTTTTACCGCGACAGTGTGCAACAAACAAGGAAATAGTGAAAAAAGCAATCTCGATTCTCAATGCCAATTTGTCTACCGTCTATTGTTTGGCTCTCCATTCAACTCTGCCAATTTGTTGTTTGTTTTTTGAATAATACTTGCCTATTAAAAAATAATAAGAATTCTTAATTAAAATTCTTAGTATTTTAATCACATATTTTTGTGTTTGTGATCAGAATCGTTTATATTATGAATCACACTGTAAAAATCATTTATGCAAAAAATAAATTAAAACTAAGTTCGTTTAATCAATCTATTGTAACAAATACATATATGGTTCGTAATGCTTTTACCAATATCGTTCATTTGTTTTTAAATAGTTTGATAACTAAATGACCTTAATTTTAATTAATTTTTTGCAAATGTAATCTTTACAAGATAATTTATAATATTAATAGTTTTGATTATAAATACGAAGTTCTATAATTGACAACAAACAATTTTGAAAAATTTTGAGTCGGAGTTCCTAATCATCTTTGAGTAGCCAAATATTGTTCTTGTTTTTCTCTCTTTAGTTAAATCAGTGATGAATTCACACTTCACACCCTACTACTACATAATAATAAAAGACGTGTTTCCTGAATTACCATTCCACGTAATACAATATATTATAACAGTATTTCAAACTAATTAAACATTATTATGTACAAAAGTTATTAGGCACAAATGAGATTCTTTACTTGATGATTGGGACCTTGGAGTTGGGACCCATAAGGCCATAACCCAAAATCTCTGCCTTAAGGAGGAAGATTCTATGTTCTCCCACTTCTCGTGCTATCTTGTTTGTGTGGTCACTGTTAAGTCACGTCAATATTTTATATTACTATTTCTTTTTGTCTTATTATCTCTATAAAAAAATAATATAAAATGTTAACGTGACTTAACCGTAATCACATAAAACAGGAGGCATGCCTTCCTGTCTTAAACACCCCAAATAATTAATTAATTGGGCAAATTGATTTTATTTACCATGGTCTAAAAATTTGATCAGCCAAATATTTCCACTTGGGAATATCGTAGGATCAAACTTTAATTAAACACTAATTAATCTATCTCTCAATTCTCAAGTCTCCACATTCATTAAACCCAATGATAAAATGTCAAAATCTCTGCCTTAAGAAGGTAGATTCTCTGCCCTCCCACTTCTCGTGCCCTTCTGTTTGTGTGATCATGGTTAAGTTATGTCAATATTTTATATTACCATTCTTTTTTGTCTTATTATCTTTATAAAAAAATAATACAAAATATTGACGTAACTTAACCGTAATCATACAAAACAGAAGGACACGGAAAGTGGAAGGGCAGATAATCTGCCTCCCTGCCTTAAACCCCCCAAATAATTAATTAATTGGGCAGATTTATTTTATTTACCATGGTCCAAAAATTTTATCAGCCAAACATTTCCACTAGGGAATATCGTAGGATCAAACTTTACTTAAACACTAATTAATCAATCTCTCAATTCTCAAGTCTCCACATTCATTAAACCAAATAATAAAATGTCAAAAGCAAAAAGTTGAAACCTTTAGCTTCCTCGGTCCTCATTCGAGATTGTCACGTCCTTCGGATATCGAATACTTCAGACTTTGGCAAAAATATAAAAATAAAAATAAATTCAAAATGCTAAGAACCACATCTTCCACTGTTCCCACCTTACCTTTCATTCAACTTAAATAAAACCGTAATTGTACCGTTGCAGTTCAGTAATCATTGTTATATAAAAAAGAAATTTGTACATGTTAAATTGCTAAAACATTATTAGATCAAAACACTAACGTTACGTAAACAGAACACCGTTCTATTTAAGTCGCTTCTCAGGATTTTCTCTCTTCTTATTCTCATCTTGTTTTCTTTTTCCTTCTCGCACTTACTTTTTATTTTATTATTTTTATAAAAAAATCAATATAAAACATTAACAATTAAGATATTAACGTATCTTAATCGTAATTTGAGAAGATAAAAGGAGAGAGATTAAGAAGGCCCTCTTTATTTTTTTTTCTTTTTTGAGCTTATCCTCCCACCACAGCCAATCCCAATCATCTCTACCTACTACTAGTAGCCTAGTACTAGCTTTCTGCCACCCAAAGGCTTCAACTTTATGAATTATAACCACCAAGCCTAATTAAAGAAACCCTAAATTCTTCCCCAAATCAAAAACCAACCAACCAACCCAGATGCATGAGACTTTCACTTAAATTATTTGTCAAAAAATTACTTCTTTTTTTTTTTTTTTTTCATTTCCCTTGATGAAACGGGTTAACAAATTGGACACCCAAAGTTACCAATTTTGCCAAAATCTACAAAAAGCTACTCTTTCTAATTTCACGCTCACCAAAAGTAGAAAAAAAATAAAAAATAAAAACAACAGCTAACAGTGAAAACCCAGTACAGATCCATCACTCACAGCAATGGAAACTTCACACTCAGATTTTGCCTCCACATGGTGGGTGAAAAAGTGCATGACCCGAATCCGACCCGCCATCTCCAACCGCGACTCAATCTGCATTGCGGGGCCGCTGGGTCCGGCGCCGGTGCCGCTCAACCCGCTGAACCCATCTCCGAAAGTGGGCCCCATTGGGTTCTGGACCATCCCGGAAGCCCGATTGGGATCGGAGACCGGGAACGACTGGACGGCGAAGTTGGCGGCCATGAACTGGGTCTGACCCGCTTCGATCTTGCCGGCGGGTATGAACATGAACCCGACTTGGCTGCCGGAGTAGAAGAGCTGGAGGGTGCTGTCGTAGTGGTTGAAGGGCGCCCGGTTGGGATTGTGGATGGAGACGTATTGGGCGAAGGTGAAGCTGACGGTGGAGTTTTGGGTGGAGAAGGAAGGGAGCTGGACGGCGGAGACGGAGATTTTGGGGTCTTTGGGTTTGAAGACCGTGAAGTAGACGATGAGGATGACGATGACGACGAAGATTAGGAAGATGGTGGCGACGATGCAGGAGGCGAGGTTCGTGCGGCCGGACGGCGGCGGTTTGGGCCGCTGAGGCCGCTGAGGCTTGCTCATGGTTGATTAATTGAGCTTAATTGTGGAATTAAGAGAAGCGGTGGAATAGTTTTGTTGTGTGAGAGAGAGAGAGAGAGAGAGAGAGAGAGGATTTAGGGGAGATTTTGGAGGTGGGATTGGGAGTAAATATTGTCGTGTTGAGAGTCGAGACAAAAGTGTGAAATTGTGTGTGTTGGAGAGAGACACCCTGTCTTTGTCTTTTTTTTTTATATATATTTTTTATTATAATTAATTAATTAATTTTTTAAATTTGGAATGTAATGTTTTTTTTTTAATTTAAATTCACAATTTTGTCGCGAAAATACTTTACGTTGTTAGAGTGTTGGATTGGAGAAACATTTCTTTGAACTTGAATTCTCTATATTGTTTGGTTCCATTTTTATATTTGATAAATTTAAGATGAATGGTGATTGTAACACTCCACACATTGTAACAAAAAAAATGTTATGAATCTCCTTTCAACTTTGTTTAGTTCACATCTCCAATAACATTTAGTTTAGAGAGAATTTTTGGCAAGAGTGTCATATTGTCGAGCATGTAAGGCAAGTTAATAAGATGTTATGTCAACATGAATAAAGTTAAGATAACCAAAAACTCAAAGAAATTTGAGCCACAACAAATTTTGAGTTAGTTTCATGTTAAATTAGGCAAAGTGAAGTAAAACAAGCATGGGCTAGTGGCCCTTCACTATAATGGTAGAAAAATGTTGCGCATTTGCATGAAAGCGTGGATTCAAACTCAATCAATATTAATTTAACATTTAATCTAATAAAATATATCGTGACAATTAAAAAAAAAAGAGTAAAAACAAGCCAGGACAAAGGAGAGAGGGAGACATTTAATATATATATATATATATATATATATATATGTGTGTGTATTTTTTTTTTTTGGATGGTGAAGAGTGGGCTTTTGCTGTCTGTATGGTTATTAGTTTTGACTCCTTAAAAGTTATAATAAATTTTTATCGTTGAATAAAATTTCAAAAATTCGAATGATTTAATCCGGTGATATTGATGAAAGATATCTGAAGAGGATCTTTCTCCTGGGGCATAGACTCTGGTCCATAACTTGAAGGTTTCAAGGACTAAAGGAAAGGGTGGGCCCAACAAAGAAAAATTAGGAAAGTGGGCGTCTGACAAGTTTGTACAAGCAATGTCCAATTTTGCTGCATGTGGATAGGTTTAACTTTACATTTTTTTTACTTGCAAGTTGGGATGTTATATCCAGGTAAGTTTAACTATCGCGGAATGATTTAGTCGTTGAGGATAAATTCTACGGCACACTTTAGTTTCAATCTTGACGTTAATAAATCTCATGATGGTGATTAAGATGAGATTGAAATATCTCTGTAAATTTTTTTGACCCCAAAAAAGATGGACTACAAAAAACTTGTATCTTATAGCTTTGTTACACTTTGAATCCTAGTTATATTTTTGTCAGAACGGAAGGTGTTATTAATGTAGAAGGGTAATAGCCTCTACAGTGCAACGGTAAAGAGCGTTTGTTTCTACATCTGAAGTTTTGAATTTCTTCAAGTGGGTAAGAGCGTTTATTCTTATATCAACGGTATTGTTTGTTTTCTAATTCACACAAATATGTCTGTATTAAGAATAAACAACTCTTACTTTGGTAATGAATGGAAAACACAAATTTATGTGGGTTTATTTTATGCTTGTTAACTTGTAGTAAGAGCTGCTGAAAGTTTGAGTAATGCTAGACATATTAATTTTTTGGACCAAATTTATAAATTATGTGATGTGTTATTAATGAAAAAATAAAGACGTTAGTCAACACTTAAGTAATAATTTAATCATTAATAATCACGTTATACGGTTTACAAAACTCGGTCTAAACAACGGTCTTCCTAACATTACCCTAAAAGTTGTGGACAAAACAAAAGGGATGAAAGGGTTTAGAATCTTAATTTTGTACGTTGATAATCTCTTGCAATGGGGCCCACCTAAACCCTATTTTTGGAGATTATGTTCCCTCAAGTTGGTATGCAAATCTGTCACTAATTAAAAGATTGAAAACGCTGAGGAATTGAGTTCATATCAATCATATTACGCAAGTAGAAGTTACACCAAATTCGATGCTGCAGCTTCTATTCGACATAATATTCTTGCTGTAATTTACTTGTGCGGTAAAAAGATAGATGAAGCAATTCAAAATCACTTTATTCAAAAGCACTTTTCCCACTTTTTTTCTGGGGCTCATATGGTGCCAAAGGAGCTGGTTTCAATTTTCCAAACAGCGGAAAACTCACATGGGTTTTGGCAGAGAACCAACCAGTAACTATCATTCTCCAGTTAATCATTGAAGGGCAGAATTGCAGCAATATTGAGTTTAGAGTTTGGAGAAAAACTTATGCAGCGAAACTGGATCACATGTATTGTCTGACTGCTTTTTCACTTAATGGAAACCCCTCGTATTGTAAGCGTTACACCCGACCCCGCTAATCCCACCGGGAGTCAAGCAGTCCTATCGAAATTTCTCTCATTAGTTTGAGCCCGTGGAGGATGGTAATCATAGGTGAGAAGATACCATGTCTTCTGGCTTCATTTCTTAAGAGGAACAATGGCAGTATAGAAACTAACGGAATTTATAAGAATAGTTACTAACTTCCTAATTTCTGAACAAACTGGAGTCTCTTGTTTAAAAACCTGCATCAAACAATCTAAATCGCGTATCGACAAGAAACTAGCAACTATCAACGTGTCAATGAAGAGGAGTATATATGAATGTACACAGCTAAACCTGCTGTACCTGAGAATCCTCCGTCGAGGTATCCATCAAACCGAAGCAGAATTTACCACAATACAGTTCAAGAAATTTCAGAGTGCTTTCAACCTCTGCTGTTTTCGTGTATAAAACACAAGAGTTCCAACATCTAAAACACAAGTGCTTCCAGTTCAGAACTTACCCTATTTGCGAGAAACGCTTCAACTCTCGGTTTGGTGATAAAGATGTGTATATACACCACATTTCAAAATCCTATATCATCAAGTGATGTAGTACAATCCTGTAATCCATAAATAGGCATAGATCTTATTCATGACCATCTTAAATAACAGTTGACAAAAGTCTTTGTATTATCTCCGTCAGTTGACAGAAATGAAATCGAAACTTTCAGGCTTATTATACGAAACTACATAAGCCATCCATATTTCATACAACCTTCCAGTCCATCCAAAAATGGACTGGTCATTCATTCATTCATTACATACATATATGTACCTATAATATAGAAATTTACTTTGTAAGCTTGTCGAGCTGGGAATCCATGATCTCGGAGATGACTTCAAGAAATGCAGCTTCACTCATGCCCGGGAGCAAGGAATCCTGAGCTTCACGCACTATCCCCTCAATCACTGACTCTTTGTTTATGTTTTCTCTGCACATGAGGCTCCCAATGGCAAAAGGGGTGAGACCTCTCTTCACCCCTTTCTTCAGAAGCATGGTGGAGATACGGAGCGTGCGGGCACACTCGGTTGGAATGTCCCACCCGTAAAATTTCAAAAGTGCAATATCTTGTTCAGCATCCAAAGAATTTATGTACTCAATGGTTTCAGGAGAATAAGCCTGGCGAGCTTGTGGCCAATAAAGCCAATCGAAAGTGCAATCTTCAAACTGCAGAGACAGCGAAGAACAAAGTTTATTAATAATTAAACCAATTATAATGTGATAATCTAGTGAAAGAAAAAAAACATGCGTACGGAAATCATTCTAGCAGGTAAAGAAAAAACATCGAATCACAACAAAGTTCACATTAACACATACTACTACAACTAATTAGATATGAGATTGCGGGAACCAAAAAACCACCCTAATTTAAGTTGAAAAACTCAATTACGCATTAGACAATCTTTCCCAACCTAAACTCTAGCTATTGTTAGTCGAAATTTCAACATGTCTGTCTAACATGAACCCCACTTTTGGCACACGTAGATTGCATTGCATCCACATGGAGATTGAGTGAACCTCACTGTCCGTCTGTGAAATTCCACTGTTAAAGTTTCATGATTTGCACAAAATTATGAAAGGAAAGAGATGGCGAAAACAAAGATGCAAGCATTTAAAAAAAATCACTAAGATGGGAAAGCATGAAAGCAAAGAACAGACACTTACATTCTCTGGAAGGCAGTACCCATGATCAATAGGAATGAGCAGTATCTTACCATCTTCCCCTTTTCTAAACAAAATATTGCCAGCATGCCTGTCTGCATTTGCCATTCTTAAATCAAAAACACTAATCTTGTGCACCTCCTCTACTGGGAAACGACTAGGACCCATGTCCTCACAACTTCCATCATTCTTCATGAACACTTGCAATGATCCCATCTTAACATTCTTTGACGAGCAATCATACCCCTGCGGATGATTAAAACTTTTATGCAAGCACCTAACCAAAATGGTCGGAGGCACCCCAGCAAAGCCAACGGTTTCGTTTGATAAATTGCGAGGCCCGCTCTTGGGATGATCCAACAAGTATGCTGCCACTTCCCTCACGGCTCCTTCTCCTACCCTTGTTCCCCTCTTCAAACCTTCACCATCTGGGGATGCGGGCAAGCCATGGGGATTGTTCACTGCATTAGGCTCCTCATCCACAGGCTTGAAAACAGAAATAAACTCCTGGAAGGAATCTTGCATGAAATAAGTTCCTCCAGTGCCTTTGGATGACCTAATAGGTTGATTGCCCTTCTTCAAACCATTAAATGTGGAATTAAGCATGTCCCATACATAAGAGGGAAGCTTAACCATGGGATTCACAACAATTGGTTCCAACAAGAACTCTGGATTGAAAAAAGGTAACTGGAATGTTACAACGGGAACCATCTCGGATTGGTGGTTGGCCACTCCATTGACCTCTTCTCTGCATTCATCCGAAAGCGGTGCCACAACTGAAAGCTCCAAATCTTTCTCATAATGCTTAGCCCTAACCTCGGCAGATTTCTGAACCACCAAGTGAATGACATCATCATTGTTCTTACAAATATCATCGATGAGCCTC